CCCCTCCGTGCCACTGTTGACATTACTGTTTCATCTTGCATTTCTCCCACAAAACAGCACGGCTGTTATTAGCAGTGTTCAATTAGGTTTTCCTATTTCAACTACTTTTGTGTTCAAGTTTTAGTATTGTGCATATGGATATGTGTGGGTGCACGTACATGTTCATGTGTTTGTTGGTGCACATGTATGCATGTACCTATGAAGAGATTAACTTTAGGTATCTCTTAGTGACCTAGAAATTACTAATTAGGCTAGGCTGGCTGGTCAGGGAGCCCCAAGGATGCCCCTGTCTCTATCTCCCCAGCATTGGGATTACAAGCAGGCACTACCACTCCCAGTTTTTTATGTGGGTGCTGGGGATTGAACTCAGGTCCTTGGAATGTGCAGCAAGCACTTTGCCAACTGAGCCACCTCCCCAGCCCTGTGTACAGGTTTTCAAACATATCCACAGATTATTAGAGCCTGGAAAGGGTGGAGCCCAGCGCCCCTACCGCCTCGATGAAAAGGATTAGGCTTTGGGCCTCTATTTCTCATTCATAGTCTGTTAGAGTGCCAGCAGTTACCTTGGTTTAAATACGCAATCCCAAGTCAGAAATACCTGGCCCTCAACCCACAGACGACCAAGTTCCTCCTTAGCTGGGTGTGGTAGCACACGCCTTTAATCCCAGCACTGGGGGTGGAGGAGTTCTGGTGGTTCTATCTGAGTTTGAGGCTAACCTGGTCTACAAAGAGTGTTTCTAAGGCAACCAGAGCTGTTCACAGAGAAACTCTGTCTTGAAAACCAAGAGAAAAAAAAAAGGTTTTTTTTTGTTTGTTTGTTTGTTTGTTTTGTTTTTTCTTGAAACCATTGTCTGGGGTTCACTTGCTACACAACCCTGTCTTTGTCAATGAACCTTTTCTGAATTTTACCTTCCTCCTCATACACCTGTGGCTGCCATTAGTGATAACTTTTTGGTGGTAAACTTAGAATTTTGTTTGAAAATGTTTTGGTCTGCCTGTGTTCTGGAGAGATAGCATCTCTGGGTATGGACTTTGAGGTGAATATATTGTTTTTTAATTAATTTTATGTTGCCATATACATCTTTGTTTTGCTTTTGAGACAGGGTCTCACTATATAGCCCTGACTAACCTCAAACTCAGAGATCCACGCCTCTGTCCCCCAAGTGCAGGTATTAAAAGTTCTGTGCCACCATATCTGGCCAGTTTATTACTTATGTGTATTAGTGTTATACTTGTGTGCCTGAGTTGACGTATGGGTGCTGGAACTGAACCCATGTCCTCTGGAAGAGCAGCTGGTGCCCTCAGCAACTCTCCAGCCCAAATAATGGATTTCTTTCAAGACAGGGTTTCTCCGTGTAGTGTTGGAGTCTGTCCTGGATCTATAGACCAGGCTGGCCTTGAATTCACAGAGATCTGCCTGGCTCTGCCTCCCACATGCTGGGATTAAAGGCCTGCGCCACCACCCCCCGGCCATTAATGGATTTCTTAATGGCATTTCCATATATGCGTCACTGTACTGTTCTCATCATTTCCCTCCCCCAGTGCCCTTTAGTGACTCCCGTCCCGTCTGCCTGCTTCCCTTCCCTCCTCAGTCTCCTCTTTGCTTCCTTACCACTCGGTGGGTTTTTGACAGGTGACTCGTTCTCTGTCACTGCATTCCTTTTGTGACCTTGCAAAAGCAAGTGGGAGTTTCTCCTCCAAACTTACTGGGATTTGCCGGTGTTCTTGTCAGAACTGATGGCTGGCAGGCAAGTCCGGCCTTCTGACACTGGAACATGATGTCATCTACAAGATGTTGTCATCCACAAGTTTCATGTTCCAGAACCATAGAACCCCATCACAAGGCAAAATTAAATCATCGCAACAGCTGCGAGCCGCCATATTCAGGGAGGTATGGCCACACACAAAACAAAAACTTGTGTTAGAGCAAGTCTACAGTTTTGTGTTGGGCACATTCAGAGCTACCCTCAACTTCACACAGCCACACACAGCTCACGGGGCTGCAGGTTGGACATATTGAGCAGTTTTAGAAAGCTGTATGCGTATATGTGTATGCCAGTTCTGTATATGTCCCTATCCTGTTATCTGTCTCGGGAGGTCCAGCCTCACCCACCAGCCGAGGTCCTGCACCTGATTCATTCTTTCTCTATGTCCTTGCTTAGGGCTGTTCTCGGAATAGTTTTCTAACCTCTGGCTCAAAATTCACTTTTTTTTTTTTTTTTCCTGTCTGGGCTAAAAGTATTCATCTGATGTTTAGTTCATTTGTGGAGACTTTCATTTTATTTATTATTATTATTATTTTTTTTGTTTTAGCTCTGTAGACCAGGCTGGTCCCCAAACTCATACAATGGCCCTCAGACTCATTGAGATCTGCCTACCTCTGCCTCCCAAGTGCTGCGATTGAAGTCATGAGCCACCACTGCCTGGCAAAACTTTAATTTTTAAATGCAGCACTTTTCATTTCGACAAGTTGATCCATATTGTTTGATATCCTCTTATTCTATTGAAAGGTAACACCTTTTGTAAAATAAAGAGTACAGTCCTTGATCATGTGCTCAAGAACCCCCTTCATTTCTTTAGATGCATGGCGTCATTACTGTTTGCTCTGTGGCCACTCTAGCACCTCAGTCCCCTCAGGTAGTTTTTTGTTGGCTTCTGTGGCCTGTGATTTTTTTTTTTAAACCTAGAGGAGCTTATCTCCTTGGAACTTCACACAAAATGCCTTAGCCTGCTGTGTCTATGTTCTTCTCAACCAGGGACAAAGTCTCCCCTGAGAACTGTGAAAGACGTGTCTCTAGACAGTTTGAGTTGTCACAACTGGGAGCCTATGTGCGCTACCAGCACCACAGAGTAGACAGCAGGGATGCAGTTAAGCTCCAACAAAACAGGTCAACCTGCAGGAGACACTTTCCTCCTCCACAGCACTGCGGCTGGGGCTCCAGGGAGCACCCCCAGCCTACCAGGACCACTTAAAATTCTCCCTTGATGGTGGCGGTCACGCCTTTAATCCCTGCACTTGGTAGGCAGATCTCTTGAGTTCGAGGCCAGCCTGCTCTACAGAGCGAGTTCCAGGACAGCCGGGGCTACACAGAGAAACCTTGTCTCAGGAAAAAGAAAAAAAGTAAAAAACAGTTCTCCCTGGAGGTCTTTAGGGCCACACAGGCAATCTGGCTCCAGGCCGCAAACTTCTAAGAAACCATAGTATATTCTAGAAACTACAAGCACATGTTTCTCACCCTGCTTGGAATATCAAGGCGATGAGGCCATGTCTGCTGAATTTCCAGCTGTGTCATCTTGTTTTCATTTACCTCCTTGGATGAGAGGTCTAAAGAACGTCACCCTAGAGCAGGGCCTGCCTTGCTCCATCTCTCACCTCCAATCCTGTGATGACATGAGGAGGGGCATGCAGGCCTTCAAGGTGTGCCGGACACTTCAGGGGAAAAGCTGCCCCCCTAGCTTGCCGCCCATGTCTTTTCTGTGTGTGGAAGGGGTTTGAGACAGAGTTGCTCTGTGGAGCCCTGGCTATTCTGGAACTCTATAGACCAGGCTGGCCTCGAACTCAGAGATCTGCCTGCCTCTGCCTCCTGAGTGCTGGGATTAAAGGGGTGTGCCACCGTGTCCATCCACCACCTGTGGCTTTCTGTTGTGCCATGTGACCTGAGCAAACTTAGACAGGATCTAGTGGACAAAATGGGGACTCCAGTAGATGGAGCGGCTTAGCCTGGGCAAAGCCGAGAGGAAAGTGAGCTTGGCAAGACCCACAGACCCTGCTGAGACCGGCGTCCCCATGGGATGGGCAATCAGGCCTCAGTTCTGGCTATCTTGGGCTGTGTCTGGAGAACCTATTAGACTAGTCAAGTGTCCTTAGGACCTGAGGGACAGGAGTGCCAAGCCACGGAATGGAAGGGTACCGGGGGAAACCCAAGGAACGAGGCCATCTTGGAGAAGGTGTGGGGGCACTGGTCTAAAGGCAAGGTGTTTGGAGCTCATGGAACACAACTGCCTTTTAGAACCACCCAGAAACCACTCTGATTCCTAACGTAGAAGGCTTGGGTGCTGGACTACTTTGTACCTGATCTGGGATGCCTTGCAGGCCAAGCACAGCGGGGAAATCAGACCCCATGGGTCATTTCACTGCCAAATGCTTGTACTCCAGACTGGAGACTCCAGGCCACAGCATTCACCTGTGATGTCTCAGCGCCTTGGGTAGCAAGCGCCTAGCCCCATCAGACCAGGCTGAACAGAGACGCCCCTCATCCAGTCTGTACCCATCCAAGCTGCCAATGGGAGGTGTGAGCCAGGAAACAGAGCCGTATCCAAGGAAGCTAAGCTTCTCCCAGTGCTCCCTGGTTCACTTTTCAACGGCCACACTGTTGGACCAAGTAGGACATTAAAAGATGGGGGTGTGAGCAGATCCCAGACCTAGGGAATCCCGCACGCCGTGGAATGGGTGTTTTCTGCCCATGGTGCACTTCATAACTTAGCTGGGAAGCCCACACTCACCCATTTGGGGGATGGGACCTCCCAAGGGGAGGACCACACCTGAAGTTACCTTGATACCATCTTACCCTGGACAGTTAGTTCAGGTAAGGCAGTGCAGTAAGGTAGGTAAACTAAGCCACTGGCTTATGTCTAGGAACCAGACTGGCCTGGTCCAGCTGCAGCCAGATTCCTTCTTTCTCAGCCTCTGCTACACACAGACTTCTATCCCTGTGGCTCCTCCAACAGACACAAACAAAGCCCTCTATTAGAGGGCCCCATCCCCCTTCCGTTCCATGTCTCCCTTCTGCTCCCATCTGAGTCACAATCACACTGTCTTAGTGCCCCTGGTGGAGAGCAGGAACCCCTAACCTCTTGGTCTCTGGGCCTCCTAGCCAACCCTCAGTACAAAACATCTACTTGCTCACTCACTCAGAAACACCGCGGGGACACAATAGGAAACACGACAGAGGGACCCAGCTCAGCCAGCGGCCTCTGCTGGGCATTATGAGAAGTGCAGCCCAGGGTGACCAGTACTTTTTACTAAATACCAGGGATCCCAGGGAGCCCTACAAGAGGGGACAGGACAACTGTAAACAAGCCCCCTCCTTTGTCCAGGGCTGCCTACAATCAGATAAACCTGGAGGAACGATCCTCCGTCACCCATTGACAGCAGAAGTAGCAGCTTCAGGCACGACAGAGCACTATGAACAGCACCCACTGTGTCGTGTCAGGCCAGCCTGGGCCAAGCCTCAGGACAGCCCAGACTACCAGAGTGGAGGCAGGCGCCCCCTCAAGGGCTCTGAGGGCTAAGCCAGACGGCTGTCTCCAGTCAGAAGACAGGCTCACAGCAGTGCCACGGAGCTGAGGCTTAAGTCTGTGTGCACATCCTAGAGAGGTCCTAGCAGCTAGATGAAAGTGGAGTCCAGAGGCCCGGCATCCTGCTGGCTGAGAGCCCGGGCCTCAAACAGCTGCTTGATGAGTGCAGACTTCTCCTGCTCCAGCTGAGTGATGCGCTCGCTCTTATCCGTCACCTCCTGGGCGGGCGGGCAGGCGGGCGGGCGGTCAGGGCTTGCTGGGCAGCCAGCCCCCGCCCCATCATCCCACACCTCACCTGAGTGAGAAGCCGGTTCTGTTCTTTCAGCATGAGGATGGTCTGCTGCTGCCAGACTGGTGTTGAGGGAGAGGTGGGGCCCAGGGGCCCCAAAGAAGACGAGGGCAGAGCCTGTGGGAGTACACAATCAGGCAGGCCTCTCCTGGGCAGAGCATCCAGAATGAGGACAAGGGGTGCCAGGGAGGTTCCAGGGCACTCACTCTGCCAGAACAGGCTGCAGTCAACAGCTCCCCCAGGCATCGGGCCACCTCCTGTACTTTGGGCAGCAACCTCCCCAGAGGGAGGGGACTCCCTGCAGTCCCGAAGTCCTGGAAGAGAGGCAGGGAACACCAGGCCATGAGGAGATTCCTGCACCTGGCACTCCTGTTCCCCCCCCCCACCAAAGTTTCAGCTCAGAGTCTAGAGAGAACCCACCCAGGGCAGCTTGGGTCCTGTCGTCAAGGGTGGCCCAGCACTCACAGCACCAGCTCTGCTCTGGCTCAGGCGGCGCTGACGCTCCCGCACACGCTGCAGCTGCTGCTGGTACCATTCTCGGCCCCGAGCCATCATCTCCAAGCCCTGCAGCAGCACCTCCTGTTCCTGCTCTAACTCCTTCATCTGCTTCAACTATAACACACACGGGCACAGAGGGATGTACGCCTGCCAGCAAGCAGACTGGCATTACGCATACCTGCACATACCTGTGTGCTCCAGGAACCCCAGGTGTGGAAGCTGAGACCTGTGCACCTGCAGACCAGCACACAGGCACAGAAACCACATCAGCGCATGTGCTGTCTGCAAAGGCACACACGGAAGGAAGCACCAGCGGACATAGGGAAGGTTATGCCTTGGAGAACACCACCCAGTTCCTCCTCTTTGGATGATGGTGGTAATGGGGCCTGGCCTCTCTCCAGCCCCTCTACTGACGCTTCCCCAAGGGCAATGGAGTGACCGACCAGACTCAACACCTTGCTCTTTGTGCACTAGGCTGGCCTGCAGAGATGAACCTCATGAGGTAGGCGGGCCAGGGGCTCAAACTGTCACCAGGCATCCCTAAAGAACCTCTTCTCTGGCGCACACCTTTAATCCCAGCACTTGGAAGGCAGAGCCAGGAGGATCTCTGTGAGTTCGAGGCCAGCCTGGTCTACAGAGGGAGATCCAGGACAGGCACCAAAACTACACACACAGAGAAACACTGTCTCAAAAAACCAAAACCAAAACCAAAACAAAAACTCCCCTCCACCCCCCAAAAAAGAACTTCTTCTCCCTCTACCTGATTTTGCCTGTCTTCCCTCTAGTAGATTCAAGCCCAGGAGAGAGAGGTTCAAAGCTGACCAATTCTCCTATAGGGGTTCCCCAAGTAACCAGGCTCATGGTTTCCAACCTTCTGGACAACATAGAGTCCCTCAGAGTCCTGGCCCCTCTCACCAGGCCACAGTCCACACCGTTGGTGATGGTATGCCTTCGGCGTTCACCTCGGGACCGTGGAGTCTGCCGGGCTTCACCTTTGCCTATGTCCAGGGTCTTGCAGGCTGCTGCACCTGTAGCAGACAGTCAGGGTCATAGCTTGGCTCTGGGCCTGCCTAACTGGCTCAATATCTCATCCCAGCTCCTTAGCCCTTCCAGGACCCTCCAACTAACTCTGATAATACAAACCCCAGGGACCAGGGCGGTCCCGGGAACCTCTGTCAGTCCTGATCCCTGAGTATGCTTTATCGGTTGACTTTGTACCTGGCTGGGATTCGGTCTCCTCTTGCCTGTCCTGCTTCCCTCATCTGCCTTAAGGAGGGTCCTGAGCTCCCTGAAGGGTTGGAGGGAGAGCAAGAATACAGCTCTTTCCTGACTCCTCCCCCAGGGCCTGAAAAAACATAGTGGATACCTCTCCCGAGTACCAAAGGGTGAAGAGTAAAAGATGATATTGACAAGGTCACGGTGTGGTGGCGCACGCCTTTAACCCCTCTCAAGAGGCAGAAGCAGGCAGATCTCTGTGAGTTCAAGGCCAGCCTGGTTTACACAGTGAGTTCTAGGACAAACAGAGAGACCTTGTCTCAGAAAAACAAAACAAACAAACAAAAGAGATGGATCAGCAGAACACTCTGGCTCATTCCACGCCTCTCTCAACTGCCTGGGGCCTTCTGGCACAGCCCCTGGTAGCGGAGAAACTCCATTGGCGATGGAGACATAATTCCTGCCCAGAAGCAAATCACACTATAAAGCAAGTTGTGCATATATGTGCCATAGACTCCTGTGAGCATCATCTAGAGGGCCTCCCACCTACCAAAACAGGGCACAGCAGGGACAGATACAGTAATGGTGCTTGGATGTGCATGACAGACTCTAGTTCCCAGCAGGCCCCAAAGTTCATGTCTCAGCCTGCAGTTTCAGGGTGAGACCATGGGAGGTACCCAAGGATACTGCCTGCAGAAGGTGGGGCCAGAGCAGGTCCTGGCAATGAGTTCTAGGAAGGAACCCTGGGACACTTGGACCTGACTAGCACAGGAAGGAGCCATACATCACAGGGTTGGGAATTTGGGGCCTTCCGTGTGTTGGGAGGACTTTGCTATGGGGGTGCTAACATGGTTCTGTGGCTCCTCCAAAGCAAGCTTTGTCAAGCATACCATAGGGCCTTGGCTGACCTATAAAGGAGTTAGAGCTAAAGCCTGTTCTTAGGCTTACAGAGCAGTGGGCTAAATATTGCCCTGCCATGGGCCCTGAGCACATGACCTTCAGAGAAGTCACTGACCCAGGGCCACACGAGGCTGAACAGGCAAACCTGTCGATTACACACAGTCCCATCCCAGGGTTGACTTCAAACTCACAGCCACACCAGCTACGTCCAGAAGCCGTGCCTACCACAGGAACAGGGAGTCAGGGCTGGAACAAGTAACAGTCTCTGTCGTGTGTGTGTGTGTGTGTGTGTGTGTGTGTGTGTGTGTGTGTGTGTGTGTTTATATCAATTCACAAGGGAGGCAGTAGAGCATGGCTGATGCAGGAGAGGTCTGGCGAGGCTGGCAGAGCAGTGGGCGGCCCTGCACCTGCAGAACAGTAGACAGAATGAATGGGCTGCAGGGCTGAGAGAGTCTTGGGCTCCTGTGAGAACCTGCCTCCATGCTTAGCCATAATGCGGGTCCTGTTCTCAGGGCAGACAGGGGGCTATTCAACAGTCTCCTGTCCCTGCCAACTAGACCGGAAGGAAGGAGAGGAGCCTGGTGGATCCCCAGAGACTGTGGTCTGTGTCCGTCAGGGTGTCTGCAGCAGCACAGCACAGCAGGTGCTGTCGGACACACACACCCCTCAACACACACACACACACACACACACACACACACACACACACACACACACACACACACACACAACCTTCTTCAGCACTTGTGCTGGGTGCTCCTGGGCCACCTCCTCTGCCTGGGTGGAGAAGCAGGCCGGGTTGTCTCTGCAGGGTGTCACACTGAGAACGATCTCCAGGACAGGTTAGAGGACGCTTGCTTTTAGGAAGAAACGTGTGCCCAAGCAGTCACACAGAAATGAGGATGGGGGCCCAGGTGTCCCCAGGTCTAGGGCAGGTACAGCAGGTACGTGCCTTCTCTCACCGCGGCAGGTGCTCAAGCTTGAGAAAGAGTGGGCTTCTCCTGGGTGTTCAGAGTCATCCACCCGCCCTTGGCTCTGGTATCAGGCCTCTGCCCGCAGCTCACAGTGGGACAGGCCGAAGTCCCTTTCCATCTAGGTGGTCCCAACCTTGCTTTAGGCTCTGGGGCCTGCCCACAGTGGTCCCCATCTCCATCCCTCTGAGGAAACCCTGCCGATCTCGTTTTCAGCACAGGTCCCAGGAATTATGAAGGACTGGGGGGCGCCCAAACTCACCCGCGTCCGCGCTCGGGCTCCGCTCCAGAGCCTTACTCGGGGGCCGCTTGGGCTCCTCGGGAGGGGGCGCCGCCTCCGCCGGGACACACGGTAGCTCAGGGTTCCGGGAGGTGCTACTGGGGCCAGCAGGCGCGGGGCGCGCACTCGGGGGCAGAGGCTTCTTCTCCAGAACAGTCCGCGGCTCGTCGGCCGGTTCGAACATCAGGCGCTGCTGCAGCAAAGGCTGGTCCCCAGATCGGGGAGCGACGCGTGCCTGATCCCTCGGGCGCCCGTTGGCGTTCAGCAGCGAGGTGCGCAAACCCGCCACGAAGCGCTCGAAGGTCAGGTAGCCACTGGCGGGGGCCACCTGGCGCAGGCCCTCGAGCACGCCGCAGGGCAGCTCGCGGGCGTCTGCACCCTGCCAGCGGGACTCGATCTCGCGCAGGTGCACGTAGCCGCGCTGCCGGTCGTCCAGGATGTCGAAGAGGGTGCGCAGGCTCTGCAGAAAAGCTCGCGGTAGCCCCTCGGTGCTAGGCGCGGGCGCGGCGTGCGGTAGGCGGCCACTCTCGGCCATCGCTGCCACGGCCATGGGCACCCAGCTTCCATCCGCGTCGGTCCCCACAAGACCAGAAGGCGGGACCTGCACGGCGCGCGCCCCGCCACGACAATAGTTGCTGTTTTTGAATGGGGCTCTCCTCGCCGCCGCGTCAGCGCTCATTAATATTCACGGCGGCTATTGGTCCAAACTGGCGCATCTGCTCCGGGATTGGCTCGGCAACCACCAGTCCAGTTTGATTTTCCCTGCGGTCGGGGCGGGCGCCTCCACTACCCGGCCAGGGAGTAGGGCCCGGGAGGTGTGACGAGGTACGAGCGGAACCCGCCAGAGTTCTCACCTCGGCTCCCACGATCCCCCTGCCTCCACGCCCACCATCCCTCCTGCCTGGGTAAAGCCCTTTCTCCCATCCAATTGTGCTCCGCCCTGCTAGCCACTTCTCTGAGGGGCGGAGCGTGGCGCCCTTTACAGATCTTGTACCCAGGTAGCCTCACGAGTAAGGATGGGAGGGTTCAGCCCCGCTTGCTCCCTTCGGTCCTTTTCACTGAGGGGATTGACTATGGGGCTCCCTTCCCTTGCATCAGGAACGCCCCAAGAGGATTAGAGGCTCCAGACAGTTGGGCGCTCTCCTCACTAAGGCCTCTGTCTCTACAACTGCCAGCTCTACCTTTGGTCCTTTGGGACAGTCTGCCTTGTCCTGCCAACTATAGGACAAAGCCAAGTTGTCTTGTGTCCCCAGATGCCCGTCCGGTGACTAGCTCCCTTGAGACAGGGTTTCTCTGTGTAGCCCTGGCTGTCCTGGAACTCACTCTGTAGACCAGGCTTCCCTCGAACTCAGAAATGCATCTACCTCTGCCTCTCATGTGCTGAGATTAAAAGCACGCGCCACCACACCCGGCTTTCTGGCCTTTTCTTTTATGAATATCTCCTCTAGCCATTATCCTGGCCCTCACAGCAGAGCCTAGTTTGCTGGTGGGACCACTTGGATTCTAGGCCTTAACCTTCATTCTTTTTTTTTTTTTTTTTTGGTTTTTCGAGACAGGGTTTCTCTGTGTAGCTTTGTGCCTTTCCTGGATCTCGCGCTGTAGACCAGGCTGGCCTCGAACTCACAGAGATCCGCCTGGCTCTGCCTCCCGAGTGTTGGGATTAAAGGCGTGCGCCACCACCGCCCGGCTTAACCTTCATTCTTAACCCAGAAGCCCATCTCAAGGGTTGGCTAGAGGCCAAGCACCTCCCAGAGGCCAGGAAGGTCCTTAGGATACCTTACGCCTCACCACCACCACCACCAACTCCTTTGCTTGGCTTCTATCCTCCACCTGATCACCTTCCCAAACTTCTGAATGTCACAGAAACAGAAACGTAGCCACTGAGAACAGTCCACATGTTAACTGCTGCCTCTACACTGGGACACTCTTCCACAATGATGCCGAATGCCTCGGGACAGGCTCTTAACTCAGGACCTCACTCCAGCCCATCTGGGCAGGCTTCTGGCCAGATGACTCAGGCTGTGGAAGCAAATTCCTTGGCTCCACACTTCTGGGAGTTACTCCTTCAAAATTGCTTGTATTTGTTTTGTTTGTCTTGAGACAGGATCTTACTATGCAACCGTGGATGTCCTGGAACTTGCTAGTGGACCAAGCTGGCCTGGAACTCAGATCCCCTGAGTACTGGGATTAAATGCGTGCACCCCCACACCCATCTCACTCAAAGCTGTGGTTCAGTCCTGGTCGGGTATTTTGGTGGAGGCCTCTAAAGAACTATGAACCCAGAGTTACTCCCTGGAGCTTAGCTGCCACTTTAGGGGCAGACCTGGTCAAAGACCCTCTGATGTTTCACATTTGCCTCCCCTCATGTCTTGCCTAGTCTTAGGGTGTTCATCCATCGTACCCTTACTTCCAGGCTCTGGGCTACATGAAGAGGACCATCCTCTGTTATTGGTTGATTGCTACGAACACTTCAGACCTTGTCCAGGCACCTGCTTCCTCTGCCCCAAAAGTCTACTTAGATGTTTCTACCTTACATACCTGGTTGTAGTGATGCTTGCTTCCCCATGAATTATTATGGTGTTTGGGAATAGGGCAGAGCCATCCCAAAGCCTAGCGTTGGTCTGACCCTACCATAGGCACGCAGTGGACGACAGTGAGCACACAGGAAGCTTTATTTGGTGAGGGAATAGTGAAATGTCATACTGCAGTGGAACACCAAGCTGGGATGAGGCCTAGGTGTTCCCGGCACAAATGCGTAGGTCTAGGAGCAACCACCAGCATCAAGGGAAACCAATGCTGCTCAGTACAGCGAGCTAAGGAGGCCAGGCCCCGTGAACCTGAGTCTACTTGCAGAGAAGATAAGAAGAGCCTGTGGGTGTTGGGGAGGTGGAGCTCGTTAGGCCCCACCCCTTCCTAGGGAGCAACCGGCAGTTAATAGTTGCTGGGGGAGGGAGAGTCATATTCCTCAGCAGTGAAGTCACCAGTAAATTACCTTTGCTCCTGTAAAGACCCTCCAACTGGTGTTCATGCCGACAATTCTGATTAAATGCAGAGGGACACACACACACAATCACACACTCACACACACACACACTCTCTCCCCCCCTTTCTCACACACACACACACTCTCTTACACACTCACACACACTCTCACATATACATACACATACACTTTCTCACACACACTCACACACACTCTCTCACACACACAGACATGAAAGAATGAGGGGCCTTGTTGGGAAGAGGAAAGGGTCTGGTAGGAGGGAAAAGAGACTAAGAGAAGATAATGGGGGAATATGATCAAGGTACATTATATATGTATGAAGTTGTGAAAGAATAAATTAATTTAAAAAAAAAAAAAGAAAGGAAAGGACCTAAGAGCCTCTCATTGTCCAGAGCTCAGGAGAAGGTAGCTGAAGCCCTGGGTCTGCAGGCTTCCTTATGATTGACTCCTGGAGAAAGATCTGGAAGAGAGTGGACTCTGCCTGGCTCTGGGTGCAGGACGAGAACATGTGCACCTGCATCTTTTCTGGCCTGAACCCTGAGCACATCCTCCTTCCATTCTCCTCCCAGCCTGGCCTGACGCTCTCCCAGCCTGGCCTGACGCTCTCCCAGCCTGGCCTGACGCTCTTCTGGCCCTGTGGCTCAGTTTTACTGCCACCCCCAAGGAACTTCCAGAATCCAAACAGGTGTGATGATGTTCTCCCTGTGCCAACCATGATCCTTGGAGAGAAGTGTGCAGGGGTACAGAGGTTGGCAAGACTCCGATGCCTCTTGGTGTAGCTCCCAGCGGTGTGGAGAGGGGCCCAGCTGTGCTGCCTAGTTCCAGCCCTCCCTAGGTTTCTCTGGTCTCCACTCTGGCCTTCGTCCTAGGCCCTTGACAAAAAAAAAAAAAAAAAGACCAAGGGGAAGCCGCTCTGCAGGTGATGCAGAGGGCTGGGTCCAGCAGGACTTTTCCACCCTCTCAGCTTCACCAGGATCCAGTGAAGTGTACCTTTGCCTGCCCAGGGAAGCATAGTCTCCTGGTCTTGGAAATGCTTTCAGCTATACAAACCAGTGGATTTAGGAGTCCATCTGACCAAGCGGGCTCATAGGTCATGCCTGACCTGTCTCCCGAGAGGAGAGGCTCATGCCCTTCCTTCCCTGCCTAGCCCCAAAGGCAATAATGGCGGCCATGGACTCTGGCCTGGGATGTGGAGCCTAGGCTGCTCACCTGACTCTGTCTGTCTACTGTCCTCACTTCCCACACGTTTCCTGAAGTTGTCTGTTCATTGCATGGAAGTCGTACGAGGGCAGACTGTGTGCTCATTCATTCATTCAGCCAGCGGCACTCCCTGAACATTTTGCTGTGACCTAGTCATGGTGGTGCTTGGCTTGGGATCCAACACTCCTTTGTTCAGTAGACAAACATGTCCCTGTATCTGCTATTCGTGGAAGGAGACAGAGAGTAATGAACCAAACAGTATCCTGCCTGTGAGTTGACTTCTCATGGAGAAGTCAGGCAGCAGAGAATGTAAGAAAGTGTGTTGTGCTCATGTCGTGAGACCCACAAGCAAGACCAGCACAGAGCCAATATCCAATGCAAATACAAAGGGGTTTATTTAAACATGCAAGCCCAGGCTTGGTCCATGTCCAACACACTGACTGGCCAGGTGAAGGATGACGGCCCTGAGCTCTCAGAGTGAAGTTTTTTTTTTTTTTTTTAAAGATTATTTATTATGTGTACAGTGTCCTGCCTGCATGGGGAGAGCCAAAGGTGCTGGAATGGAGTATGCCTGCAGGCCAGAAGGGGGCACCAGATCTCATGGTAGATGGTTGTGAGCCACCATGTGGTTGCTGGGAATTGAACTCAGGACCTCTGGAAGAGCAGTGCTCTTAACCTCTGAGCCATCTCTCCAGCCCCCAGTGAAGGGTTTTTAAAGGGGAAAAACCGCAAGCCATGGGGAACAAGCCTTTGCATTTCAGGGTCACACTTCAGTTAACAGGAACATTTAGCCAAGAGAAGAACTACAGAAGACAAAATACAGTTGGAGACCCTCCCAGTACTATTGGAGACTTTGATGGATTAAGCCTTTGTCTTTTTTTTGGAACTGAGGACTGAACCCAGGGCCTTGCACTTGCCTGCTCTACCACTGAGCTAAATCCCCAACCCCTGGATTAAGCCTTTGTTTTAACTATTTCTTGGCCAGCAGCCTACCCATCCTGGGGTGGAGGTCATCTTGACCAGAGTCTTAGCTGGGTGTCTGTGTCTCTGGAACTTGGTTCAGCTTCTTTCTTAGTGCTGTTAGGAAAAATGGAGTTTGTCTTGCTCTCTGGGTGCTGTGAAGAAAGGTGTGAAGAAAATGGAAGAAAAGTCATTCTAAGCTGTGGCTGTAGACAAAAACCCTTTCTGGGACAGGAGAATTTATGGTCTCCATTCTTGCTTTTGGGTTGTTGGGGGTTGTTTTGTTTTGTTTTTGTGTGGAGTTTTTTGGTTTTTGTTTGTTTTTACAAGAGGCTTTGTGTAAACTGTGTGTTAGGAGTGAATGCCTTTAATCCCAGCACTTGGGAGGCAGAGGCAAGGGATCTCTGAATTCGAGGCCAGTCTGGTTTACAGAATGAGTTCCAGGATAGTCAGGGCTACACAGTTAAACCCTGTCTCCAAAAGACAACACACACACACACACACACACACACACACACACACACACACACACACCCTAAAAGGCTTTATGAAAAAGCAAAATAAAGCAGGAAGCAGCTGCAGAACGGGTCTGGAAATCAAGTCCTTAGGGGATGCAGGTTAAAGCCAGCCTGGGTCTGGCCTCCTCACAGTGCGACAGAAAGATAGCCTGCCAGAGGCGTTTCTCAGTGAAAGCTTACACGATCAAACAGGCTCCTCTTAGGCTCAGACTCTACCAGAGAGGCTCCGAGGCCACCCTCTCGGCTGTGGACACGCAGGAGGGTGGGTTAGGTTTGGTCAGCCCGGGAGAACACCCAACCGACGGGACCTCCTTCCTCTCTCTGGGCGAGGACAGAACAGCTCCGCCCACATCGGAGGCGTGATGGTATTCAGGAGAGAAACGCCTAGGCCTTGGAGACTAGGAGGACTAGGGGGGCCTGGCTTGAGTACACCTTGAGTTTGGGGTCAAGAGTAGAAAGGACCTGGGTCGTGTGCGCAGCCTGGGGCAGAGATACAACAGAATGCCAGATCTTGGGCGGGGGACTGTGCTAAAAGGGTTTGAAGAGGGGCGGAGCCAAAGGGGACCGAACTGGAGCTCCAAGGGAGAAGGGGGCGGGGTCCCGGGTGGAGGTGCTGCGCCCTAGGCCGGCCTCTCCGGGATCTGCACCGCCTGCCTGAAGTCTCGTGATGTTGGTCATAAGGTCTCCAGTGCCAGCTGGGCCAGCAGCCGCGGTTGCAGCATGGCCTCGGAGCAGGATGTGCGGTCCAAGCTGCAGCGCGCGGGCCAGGATCATCTCCTTCGCTTCTGGGACGATTTGGCTCCCGAGCCTCGAGCGGCGCTCCTAGCGGAGCTCGCCTCGCTGGAGCCCGATGTTCTCCGTGAGCACTGCCAGCGTGCCTCGGCCGCCTGCTCGCTAGCCCCGGGCCCTCTGCCCGACCTGGCGGCGCGCCTGCAGCCCCTGCCCCCAGAACGCGTAGGCAGCGCGATCCGCTGCGACCAAGAGACACGCCGGCGGTGGGAAGAGGAAGGTAGGCAGCACAGCACTGGGCGGGGTTGGGCAGGCGCTGCCCATTGCGTCCGGAAGAGTTAGTGCCTGGGGGGTGGGGGGGACGACTCTGGAAGTACTGTGTGGAGTTATTTGCCTTGCAGCTCCTTCCTCTTGCGCTTAGTAGACCCCGAAGCTGTGCAGTAGCAAGCTCACGCGTGGCTCTCTCTAAAGAGGCCTGTCCTCACGATGTACCTCCCCTCCAGGTTTCCGACAGATTGCTCTGAACAAGGTGGCTGTCCTGCTGCTGGCCGGTGGGCAGGGAACTCGCCTGGGCGTCACCTACCCTAAGGGCATGTATCAAGTAGGGCTGCCCAGCCAGAAGACCCTGTATCAGCTGCAGGCAGAGCGGATCCGGCGTGTTGAACAGTTGGCTGGCCAGCGACTGGGGACCCACTGCACCGTGCCCTGGTGTGTCCTCCCTGCCAACCTCCCAGAAAGACCACCCTTAAGTGACCCAGGCCTGCCCCACACCAAGACCCGAGACCCAGTCCTAGCACAGCCCTAGAGAGAGCCCAGCACCTGCCCTTACTGAGCCCCATGCAGGCTTGTTCCCGCCTCGCCTGCCAGGGTGAGCCAAATTCCTCTGGAAGCAACTCACTGCTAGGACGTTTACAGGTACATCATGACGAGTGAGTTTACACTGGGACCCACCATCAAGTTCTTCAAGGAGCACGACTTCTTCCACCTAGACCCCGATAACGTGGTCCTCTTCGAGCAGCGCATGCTACCTGCCGTGACCTTTGAGGGCAAGGCCATACTGGAACGGAAAGACAAAGTTGCCATGGCCCCAGGTATGGTCCACACCTTGAACAGGGAAGGGTTGCCCTACCTGGACTACAGAGTGCCGCTGTGGGTCAGGAGGCCCGACTCCCAGGTAAGATGTGCTCAGTCTGGAGTCTCATCTGTCACATGATACAGTCACAAGGCTCTTGGTGGTTGTGCTCCCGCTACTTTTACTAGACCGAGCAGGAGATCAAGCTGGAGTCCATGGGAAGACCCATTCCTTTCTCCTTTGCAGATGGTAACGGGGGCTTGTACTGTGCCCTGGCGGATCACCAGATCCTTGAGGACATGGAGCGGCGGGGCGTGGAGTTTGTGCATGTGTACTGTGTGGACAACATCCTGGTGCGTCTGGCTGACCCCGTCTTCATAGGCTTCTGTGTGCTTCAGGGAGCCGACTGTGGTGCCAAGGTGAGCATCAAGCTTTTATTTTCCTTGGCACTCGGCTCTGCCGCTTGCCAAACCCTGCCCCTCCTCATCCCTGTCACTCCCATCACACTGAGTCTATACCCGGTGGCTGCAGGTGGTGGAAAAAGCATACCCTGAGGAGCCAGTGGGTGTGGTGTGCCAGGTGGATGGTGTCCCCCAGGTGGTGGAATACAGCGAGATTAGCCCCGAGATTGCTGGGCTCCGAGGGGATGACGGGGGCTTGCTCTACAACACAGGCAACATCTGCAACCACTTCTTCACCCGAGACTTCCTGGATATGGTCACCAGGTGTGTGGCAACAGGTGACTGTGGCAGCCCAGGCTAGGCTGAATTTAAGAATGCTACGGCAGGGTGGTGGTGGTGCACGCCTTTAATCCCAGCACTCGGGAGGCAGAGCCAGATGGATCTCTGTGAGTTCAAGGCCAGCCTGGGCTACAGAGTGAGTTCCAGGAAAGGTGCAAAGCTACACAGAGAAACCGTGTCTCGGAAAACAAAACAAAACAAAAGCAAAAGCAAAAAAAAAGAATGCCACAGCAGCTTGAGCTGACCTAGACCGAGCTGGGCCACTATTGGGAGTGCACGGGGTTGGGTGGAGAGAATTCCTGTCACTACATAAACAAGCCAGATCCCACCAGAGTCTGGGCGGTTGGGATGAGCCCTGGTCAAGGCTGTCTTGACCCCACTGCTCATGGCTGCCACCGCTGCCCTGTCATTAGCCTGGGCAGCATTGTGGCTGGTGGTTCCTGGCTTTTGGTTCCTGGCTTTTGGCCCTGGGGATGCTGGGAGAAAACCTGTATCCTTCCCAGAGAAGTAACTAAGCATCACCTGGCCGGGTACACAGAAGTGAAGGCTGGCGTTCCAGGGATGCCCTACCTGAACCACACCCCTTTTGCCCTCTTGCTACCAGGGAGTTTGAGCCCTTGCTGAAGCTGCATGTGGCTGTGAAGAAGGTCCCATACGTGGATGAGGAGGGAAATCTGGTAAAGCCGCTAAAACCGAATGGGATAAAGATGGAGAAGTTTGTGTTTGATGTGTTCCAGTTTGCTAAGTTAGTGGTAGAAGTCGCTTATTTTTCTCTTCTTCCCTCTCTTGGTTCTGGTAGTGGGTTCAGAGGTCCCGGAGGAGAGCAGGGAAGCGGGAGCTTGGTGAGGGGCAGGGGTGGGGAAAGGTGAAGGACTATAGGTTGGTTTGTCCCGGGGAAGTCCAGAGGGTGTTCTTGCCCCTAAAAGCAAGAGCAGAGGTTCTGAGGGGACCAGGAGCAACCCCCTGAATCCCCACAATCCTGACCCAAGGTCGGATTTGCTGGGTGAGTCCCATATCCTCTGCCTCTGAACAGGTGGCAAATGAGAGGTGGAGGACTTGAGGCTTCTTAGGATCTCAGGAAAGCAAAGATGCTTTCTGTGCCTGTGGGGCCCTCCTAGACCACCGTACGCATGGGAACAACTCCCGTTTAGGGAAATCTGGCTTCCCCTTGCCTGTCCAGAGCAGAGCAGCTGGCGGGGATGCAGGGTCATGAACCCTTCTCTCCACCAGGAACTTCGTTGCCTTTGAAGTGCCTCGGGAGGAAGAATTCTCCCCACTGAAGAATGCCGACACAGCCAGCACGGATAACCCTTCCACCTCCAGGAGAGCTTTGTTGGCTCAGCACCACCGCTGGGCTCTGCAGGCCGGAGCCCACTTCCTGGATGGACATGGGGTCCAGCTTCCTGAGCAGTCTGGGTGAGGGCCTCTGAGGTTAGCTTGGGGCCTGTTGATGCTGCCACTGTCCAAGTTGGCTTCTAACCCAGCACCACACCACACCACACGCAGGCGGCTATGTTCCCAGCCAGCGACAGCCTGCCTGGTGACTGTTAGCTCAGCCTCTTCGTCTCAGGTTATGCTCAGGGGAGGCAGGGTCTCAGATGCCCCCAATTGTATCCCCATAAGCCCTGAAGATGAGACCTAGGCCTAACCCTGAGGAGACACGGGAAGGTTTGACCTCTGAGACCTTTGGTGTTTATCTCCTTTATTGCTGTGCTGGAGGGGCAGCTGGGCCTGGCTGCCTGCGCTCTGTGCCAGGGCCCTGTGTAGTAATTTAATTTTCTTAGCTAAGCCAGAGCCTGTTACTTGGCAGATGGCGTGCATGGGTTTGGGCTGTGCAGAGGGAGAGGTTGCTGTGGAGATAAGACCGGGGTGTGTCACTGATGCTGGACAGGCACTTGCCTCTTCATGTCCGGAGGGTGCTGGGAGGGCCCCTGGCATTCACTTGAGAGGCGATGCTGACCATTGCTCTCCCCCAGCTTGCTCCCAAATGGAGACCCTCCAGCCATCTGTGAGATATCGCCCTTGGTGTCTTACTCCGGAGAGGTGAGTGTGCGGGCCCTGTCCAGGATTTCGTGAAGTCTGGTGTGTGTGAACCAGAAGAAGAAAATGGGAGAAGCAGGCACTGGGCTGGACAGATCCTAGCCTTGAAGAGTGCCGTAGACTGAGGGGTCTGGAGGTCTGGAGGCCTTTGCAAGTCTTGGGAGGGCGTGGGGTACAGGAAAGGATTGAGGCTGAGACCAAGGTTTTGGGGCGTCTTCCTGGACACTAGCCCTCTTCTGACCCTGCCTGACAGGGTAACACTGGACTCTTGTTTCGGGTGGCTGGAGGGGGTATGGGCAGACGAAGTAGACGCTTAGCCGCTCTAACCCTTTGTTTCTAGGGGTTGGAGATGTACTTGCAAGGCCGAAAACTCCAGTCTCCATTCATTCTGGACGAGGACCAAGCCAGGCTGCTGCAGCCACAGAAGTGCTAACCTGCTTGCTCCCAGCCTCTCCAGCCCTGGGGTCCTATCAGATGCTGATAGAGCTCTGGCCCAGGCTCTGACTAGAAATGCTGGCCTGCAGGGCACAGAAGGGAGTGTGCTAGTTTACTTCACAAGGTTGGGACCTCTTGGGTACCCCCGGGCTGTGACTGTCTCTGTGTGTGGCATTTGCTTTTGTTTTTGTCTCATTGCTGACTCTGGGACTCAGCTGATAGGCAAAGGGTTGGGGACCTTGGAAAATGGGGCTAGAGGTAGAGTGTGAGGAGGTGTTGTCTGAGAAGGGACAGGAGATGCCCTCTGTCATCCACTCTGCCAGCCCAGGCCAGCCACATGCTCAGCAGACAGTGAGATATGCCTCATGGGGATATAGTTAAAGGACCCCTCCTCCCAGTAGCTGAGCATGTCACCCCATGTGCCTAGACAGAAGGAGCCTGATGCCCTGGTTAAAACTAGCTTTGAGAACTCTCATCTGCACACTGAGATGAAAGCAGTTCTCCGGGCCTTCCCACAGCTCTCTCCCACAGCCCCAAGTCTCCCAGTCAACACCCACAAGTGGGCCTGGCTGCTGTGTTCTTAAGTCTTTTCCCCCCCAAAGAACCAGAGGCCACACTGTTGACTTTTGGACTGGCTCCTGGTTCTGACCGGGTCTGGAGCACACCTCATCCTGGTTAGTTTCTTTTCCCAGAGCTTAGAGCTTAAGCTCTCAGCTGGAGGTGTAGCCTCTGTCTATCTAGGTGGTGCTTAGCTCTGCCACCCAGCCTTGTTCTGTCTCTGACACGACTCCGTTGACTCATAGCTGCTTTCCCATGCAGGAAAATGGTGACACTGGCCCTTCCCCTAATGTAACAGTGGTTAGGAGAGGCAGCCTGCTCCTCAGCCACCTAGCCCTGGATGTATGGGCTCCGCCACCTAGCCCCAGATGTATGGGCTCAGCCACCTAGCCCCAGATGTATGGGCTCCTGCTCTCATTCCTGGCCACTTTCCCAGAGGAGGTTGCTGGGAAGAGTATATTTACCATTCAGTGTGCAAACAGTGGGTCTGGACTTGTGAAAGATGGCAGGATTGGGCCCACGGCCGCCATTGTTGGGACTGACACGTCAAAGACAAACTGGGCTCTGTGGTCATCTTGCTGTAGGCCCCAGGAGCAAACTGTATTTTGGCATCCTTCTCTTACTGCTCCACAGACAAGCTGGGGTCCCTGGAGCAGGAGAGGGTCCCAGAGGGAGATCAGAGCCTCAGGCTCCTCCTGAATAAACAATCAGTTGGGTGAATTCTTGAAAGGAGTTAAAAAAAAAAAAAATTCGCCGGGCGGTGGTGGCGCACGCCTTTAATCCCAGCACTCGGGAGGCAGAGCCAGGCGGATCTCTGTGAGTTCGAGGCCAGCCTGGAAAGGCGCAAAGCTACACAGAGAAACCCTGTCTCGAAAAACCAAAAAAAAAAAAAAAAAAAAAAAAAAAAAAAAAAAAAAAAAATTCAAAGAGGTCTCCATGTCCTTCACCCATTTCCCTGGTGAGTGTATCTTACATGATTATAAGACACTATCAAGCTGGGGGTGATGGGATGCAGTGTTTAGAGCTTTCATGTGGCTATATTAGTGTACCCAAAGTGTTCCCTCACCCTAGAGCTCTCCAGTCACACTCCACCATTCCTAGTCCCAGATTGCCCTGAAAAGACTGACTTTTGAGAGACTGGACATTGTTTTCACAGATAGGACATTTGCAGTAAATCCCGGCCACGGGTTGGTTTGTCTTTTTTGGAGGCAAGGTCGTGTGTATCCCAGGCTGGCCTTGAATTAGCTACATAGCCAAGGACGACCTTGGACATCTGAACCTCCTGGATAAGGTGTTTATGGGATGGTGGGAATTGAATCCAGGGCTTCATTTGCATGGTGGGCAAGCACTCTACCAACAGTTCCAGCCTCAGGTGCAGTGTTTCATGGCATACAGACAGGGGATGGGTATATCCACGGGACAGGGCTTTGGGAAGAGGAGGCTGCCCAAGAAACCCTTCATGCTTCTATCCTCCTCTTCACCAGGGATTCAGAGAAACCCAAGACACAGGACACTCAGGGAAGACCACTGGAGTGGGGCTGGAGGCTCACCCACGGGTACGTCCCTTCTTGATAAGCCGGTACTTAGTCAGTCACTTCAGAACGCACCGCTTGAGGGCATTGCTGAGACTACCTACAGTTATTTGTTGGAAGACAACTAACAGGACACTGAATGTGACCTTGAGAAGGGAAGAGTCATGAGTCGTGACAGCACATGCCTTTAATCCCAGTACTGGGGAGGCAGAGGCAGGCAGAACTCTGTAAGTTCGAGGCCAGCCTGGTCTACAAAGCAAGTTCTAGGACAGGCACCAAAACCACACAGAGAAACCTTGTCTTAAAAAACACAGAAAACAAAAGGGAAGGAGTCAGACCAGGAGAGTTTTCAAATTCAGAGAAACGGAAGGCCAGGCAGGCTTGCCATATGAGGAACCCTTCAGGCACCCAGAAATGCACACTGTCAATGTGCAGCTGGAACCTGGGTGTGGTGCACACCTTTAGTGCCAATACTATGGAGACAGAGGTCGGCAGATCTCTTGAGTTTGAGACCAGTCTGGTCTACATAGCAAGTTCCAGGTCAGTTAGGACTACATAGTGAGACTGTGTCTCAAAAACAAAAGCTGTGTAGTTGGGCCTGGAGCAAACAGGAGTCAGGAAGCCGCTCATACTCCATAGATGCTGCTTTGCAGGTTTGAGCTTTTACTTGGAACCATGTGTAGCAAATGTAAGTAGTTCATCGTGTAGCATAGCTCCCAAGGCCGTGGACTGAGTGAAACCTCCCTGTTAGATCCCTTACCGGCAGGGAGGGCCAAGCAGTGTCCTTAGGTGCACAGGGCCCTGCTCTAGCCATAGTTACCTTACGAGGAAGCAGGCTGGGCCTGCTCTGGGTTCCCACTATAGAGGACAACAGTCTTCATACTGAACCTTACATGGACTCACCCCATTTTATACAGTAGGATTCTGCTGTATCTGCATCTCTAGTATCCATCAAACTCACCACGCGTCAGGAAGCCCGCCCAGAACACCATCAGAACTGAGAAAGAACCTTTCTTCCATCTGGCCCGCTGTGTTCTGGTCTCTGTATCTACTCCGTTCTTGCTTTCAGTCCAGAACCCTTCAGTCTCTTTAACCTTTCTTAGTGGTTCTATGTCATTGTATGATACAAACAAAATATGTGATCTGAGAGTTGGCTGCTACTAGTAATTGACATTGAAGTGGAATAAAGGAACCCATGCTTGCTGGTGGTCATGATTACCAAGGAAAATCAAGAGTGCCCAGTGAAATAGAGCCAGTAAAATCCAGGTAGCCTAGGAATTATGGGAAGACATAACATGCTGGTCTCTCTTACTGGCTTAACTTGTACTCAAGATCACTGCTGTGATCAGCAGGATTCCATTCATTAGAAAAGGAATCTAATAAGCCAGGTCTGATGGCGCATTCCTTTAATCCCAGCACTTGCAGGCAGATCTCTGAGTTCAAGGCCACCTTAGTCTACAAAGCAAGTTCTAGGACAGCCTGGGAAACAGAAGAGTCCTGTCTTTTTTTAAAAAAAAAAAAAAAAAAAGAGGAAAGAAAAAAGGACTTTAGTGAACATGATCCTTTCCAAATAAGCCATTTGGTGGTACAGACAAAACACTACAAAAGGCTGGTGAACAGACCAAAGCTGCATCTCTAAGCAAGGGTCTACTCACAATAATGTGATACACGGATTAGGGTGGCTCCTGACTCAGGTGTGGAGAGGAAGTGTGTGCCCCAATCTGTGCAGATCAAGGGCCAAAGACTTGAGAATCAGGAAGATAAATAGCATACACCAGGAAAGGTCTCAACTCATGAGGAATTATTAACAAAAGAAATACCTGGGGGGGGGTGCATACCATTAATCCCAGCCCTTGGGGAGGCAGAGACAGATGGATCTCTGAATTTGAGGCAAGGCTGGCATACAGAGCAAGTTCCAGGACAGCAGGGCTACCCAGAAAAACCCTGTCTTGAAGAAACAAAAACAACAAACAAATACACAAAACCTAAAGCATCATGAGAGGCATAAACTTCAGATTACACACCCATCATTACTCACGTCTCAGGTGGACTATGGAATTAGACCGTGCCAACAAATATTTGCATTATTTACTCTGGAGGTATAGGCAGGCAGATCTCTTAAGAGTTTGAGGCCTACCAAGGTGCACGAGACTCTGAAAAACCAATAAATAAAATAAGTATTTGTCAAGCTTGGTGGTGTTCACCTTGAACCCCAGCACTAGGGAGGCAGAGTCAGGCAGATCTCTGTGAGTTCAAGGCCAACCAGAGCTACACAGTGAGACCTTGTCTAAACAGTTCACCAACTGGGGACTAAACATGAAAACATGAATCCATGGGGGACATTCTCCTTCAAACAACCATAGGCCGGGAAGCAGTACCATTTGTAAGACTTTACAAGGCCATTCGAATGGTCTCATAATAGCACATTCTTCCAAATGACTAAAACATAATTAAATAACAATAAGAAAAAACAGGAGCAGAAAAGACACCATAGAACTTAGAGGCAGGAGTGGATAATTAGGAAGGACAGGCCCCAACACCACTTATAAATCTTAAGGAGCCATAAAACCACCAGAAGGTAACAGAGTCACATTGTGGCAATAGTGACCCCGGTGTCTACATAAGAAGTGCAGACGCTGGGCAGTGGTAGCACACGCCTTTAATCCCAGCACTTGGGAGGCAGAGTCAGGCGAATTTCTGTGAGTTCAAGGCCAGCTGGTCTATAGAGTGAGTTCCAGGAAAGGCACCCAAAACTACACAGAGAAACCCTATCTTGGGGGAGTGGGGGAGAAACAGCCGGGCGGTGGTGGCGCACGCCTTTGATCCCAGCACTTGGGAGGCAGAGCCAGGCGGATCTCTGTGAGTTCGAGGCCCGCCTGGGCTACCAAGTGAGTTCCAGGAAAGGCCCAAAGCTACACAGAGAAACCCTGTCTCAAAAAACCCCCCCAAAAAAATAAATAAAAATAAAGAAAAAAAATAAACAAACAGATGTGTGACAGGTAGGAGAGACAGGATCATCTGCAAAGGTGGTAACGACTACACACACAGCATGTAATTTCTGGTCTGGTCTGTGACATTTGCTACCAGTGAGAAGTTTTTATCAATAAAATCAGCTAAGGCAGAGCTGTGCCTGCCCTCCCACGTGACCAAACCCAACTCATCATTTGCGTGGTAGGCAAGCGCTCTATCAGCAGCTCCGGCCTCAGGTGCAGTGTTTCATGGCTGCTCTTCCAGAGGACCCAGGTTCAAATCCTTGTACTGATGTGGCTAACAAGCATCTGTAACTAGGTCCCACGGTATTAAGTACCCACTTCTGGACTCCATGGGCACTGCACACACACGGCACACTGACATCCATGAAGGAAAAACACTCACATACTAAAAATGAGTACAATCTCAAACATTTTTAAACTTAAAAGTGTCTAAGTAGGTGTGCACTAGGAAGAAGTATAAAAGTGGAGGGTAAAATACCCAACTCAAAATGAAGGACACCGATAACTGCACATACCACTTTAAAACTCAGAGTGGGAGAAAATAGGGGCTGGAGAGTTGGCTCAGTGGTTAAAAGCACTTGCTGCCCTTGCAGAGGACACTGGTTTGATTCTCAGTACCCACGTGGTGGTTCACAACCATCTGTAACTCTAGCTCCAGAGACTTCAAAGCCCTCTTCTGAATTCCAAGGCAGCCAAACATGCATGTGGTACATACATGCAGGCAAAACACATCAAATCCAATAAATATAGCTAATTTTTAAAATTAAAAAAGGGAGATGACTTGTGGAAAATTCCCAGGATGCCAAACCCTAAAATATAAAGGAAGAGAGCCAGCACTCAGAAGGCAGAGGCAGGCAGATCTCTGAGTTCGAGGCTAGTCTGGTCTACAGAGCGAGTTCCAGGACAGTGAGGGCCACACAGAGAAACCCTGTCTCCAAAAAAACAAGAAAAAAAAGAAGAGAGAAGTGCACGATAAAGAAAGACTCATATGTTATGCCACAGGAGAGTCTGTCTCTGGATTCAAAGGACAGACATATGGGAGTGGGCTGTAAAAATAGACAGCAGGTGGGAACCAAGATGTAACAGGGCATGGAATTCAAGGGGAGATGCAGGACATGAAGAATGTGAAACCTCACTGAAAACATTTCAGTACAGATACACAGCCACTTACAGTTAATATCACTCTGCAGGCAGGACTTACCGGGCAATGAAACACCAACACCCCAGAAATACACAATAACAAAGGTAGGCATCTGTGCAGGGTTAGGGCCTCCCTAATCTGTGGCACAGCATTCCACAGCTCTGGGCTGTGTGTCCCACTGGACATGTTTCCCCCATGGCTGAGCCGGTCCAAGTCCCATCTCCTGTGATCTCTCCCGTCTTCCAGGCCTGGGACTGAGTTTCAGGGAGTAAACTGGTTCTTTCTTTTCCCTGCACACTCCCTGCCACCAGGTGGAGGGCAGCTTCCAGCAGAAGCCCCGTCCCTCCATCTCCCCCATTCTGTCTGGGCATGGGCACAGTGCCAACAGCCAGGAGAACAGAGCAGCCACACATTCCAAGCTCAGAGATCGCTGACACCACTCAGATAAGCCCAGTGTCGTCTCTCAAAGACTTCTCCTCTGCAGCAACCTCCAACACCCCTCCCTTCCTGAGGCCACTCTCTTAGGGCAGACAGAACTGTCCCAGTTTCCCTGGCCCTGGGATTACGGGACTGACTGTCAGTGGAGCAAGGGTGCTGACCGGAACTGAGGGCTGGGGGCAGGGTGGCCATTCTGACTGAGTCCATGTTGTTGATGCTCCAGCACAGCTTTCAGTGCCCAGGGCACCAGTGAGATGACAGGCTGAAAGAGTAGGTAGCTCCAGCAACCATCAACCACCGGAAGATGTGGGGCCTGCAATATCACTCTGTGGTATTCAGCAACTGGACACTTGGGCGCCCTGACACGCCCTAGCCCTGCTGTCTGCTTCCTGGGTCTCCACAGTGATCATCATCTCTGTGAGAACACAGTAGGAGCCCAGGGAACCCTTAAGATTTGGGTCAAAAGCCCCAGAAGCTGATGCATGAAGGCGTAAAAGTGGTCCTCCAGCTAGAATCCAGCTAATTAGGACAGCCTTTCAAAGCTGTCACGTGACGTCGCCCCGCCTGACATGCCTGTCACGTGACCTGGGTCACATGACCACCCGGCGCCCATCTCAGAATCAGGCATGAGCTTCCAGTCTTGTGTCCCTGCGGACCATGGGGTCCCTTCCTGGGTCCTGGTCCTGCTGCTGGCATTGGGACTGTGCAACCTCCAGGCCAGAGGTGAGTGTAGACTGACTGCCCTCCCTCCCGACCCTCCCGGATCCCCGATGATCCTTGCCAGCCCCTAGCCTCCGCATCTGCCCTCAGGTGACAGAGTTCTAGACCCTGACTTTCGGGAGAACTATTTCAAGCAGTATATGGACCACTTCAACTTTGAGAGTTTCGGCAACAAAACCTTTAGCCAGCGGTACCTGGTGTCAAGTGAGTGTTGTCCCCACAGTACGTTTCCTGCCTGCTTATCCCTGGACTCACGGAAACTCACTTACTTCCCATAGATAAGTTCTGGAAGATGGGCGAGGGGCCCATTTTCTTCTACGCGGGGAATGAAGGGGACATTTGGAACTTCGCTAACAACTCTGGCTTCATGGTGGAACTGGCAGCCCAGCAGGAGGCCCTGCTTGTCTTTGCTGAGCACGTGGGTATCGGGACAGTTCCTGGCAGTCCCTGAGCTGAAGGAGGTGGGGAGTGCCGAGCAGTGGTTAGCCATCCCTTTCTGCTTCCTGCAGCGGTACTACGGGAAATCGCTTCCATTTGGCGTGCAGTCCACACAGCGTGGATATACACAGCTGCTGACTGTGGAACAGGCACTGGCGGACTTTGCTGTGCTGCTTCAGGCCCTGCGGCAGGATCTTGGGGTCCAGGATGCTCCCATCATAGCCTTCGGAGGGAGGTGGGTCCTTGATTTCCCGTGAGGACAGAGGCACGTTTATCCGAATCTGATCCCACACCAGATCTGAAGGAGCCCTACTCTTACCCCTCCCTGATGCCCAACCTGTTGTACCAGGTGACACCCTATACAAGAAGGGTCAAACAGATGTCCCTCACGGTCTCCACATCCACTGCCCACCCCAGTGTTCTCAGTCTTTAACTTTTTTGTTGTTTTTGTTTTTTGAGACAGGGTTTCTC